CCTCAGCAGTGGTACCTTCCGGTGTGGTCATTTCAGGAGTTGTTCCTCCTGTTGTCGTGATCTCTTGTGTGGTATCGATGGGCGTTGTGCTGTAAATAGTTGTGGTTCTAATTACGCAGTTCTCTAATCCTGGATGCTTATTTATTAATCTGTTCAGAACTTCGTCACTGAGCTCACCAAGTTTTATTCCGAAAAGTGGAACGTCTTTGCAGAATCGATTTATTGTGCAAGGGTTCATATGTAAAACCAGCCCCACGAAATTATTATGATTTTTAATAATATAGTCAAGAAAACCGACATCTCTATCAGCAATGAAGTTGATCAAACACTCAGGAATGTTGGGCATGGTGTCGCTCACAATTTCAGCCAATTCAGACCTAGTATAGCAATCCCTATGTTTTCTTGGGTATGGATATAATTGAACACCTCTACAGTCATCCTCACACTCTTCATCCTCGCACTCTTCATCCTCGCACTCTTCATCCTCGCATTCATCATCGCTTTCATCCTGGCAATCATCGTCATCACATGAGTCATCCTCATCATTAGCGGGAGGACAATCTTCTCCGCAATCATCCGACTCACAGCAATTCAAAGATTCCCTAATGGGAAAAGCAAAAGTACCTATCACCATCAAACAGGCAAGGAACAGGAGGCACGGTTTTACCAACATTGTGTTGTGTTTCCTTCCTACCCACCCGCTTTTTTCGGGACCTCTTTTATAGCATTGTGGTTTTAATTTAACTGTTTGAAGGCGTCATTTGACTCCTATTCTCATTGTTGTAAAACGGCATTTTGATTGTTAATTGCAATGCATGACGTATCATCCTTTATTTCATTTGCAGTAAGTGAAAGTCATACATTTGAGTGAAATTCCATGTGATGTGCAAGAATTACCAGCTGATTTCACAAACAACAACAATATGGTGAAATTAAGGTCATTTATTCTGTGAAAATGTGGAATGACTCAACAAAGCAAGTGATCCGAGTTTTTCAATGGCGACCTTAAAGTGTTATCCCTCCCCTCAAATAAGGCTAAGTCGGAGGTCGCATGAAAATTAAAAAAATTCTGCTTTCATTCAGTGGCTAAGTGACCAGTCGCACTCGTTAGCTCTGATCAAAATGTTAATTTACAGAACTCCAAAATACCTTTTCTCGGGAGGGTGATTTTTTTTCGCTTTTACTCCGGATTGACTTACCTCCACGTGGTGCACCATGGGCAACGTATACTC